AAGTTTTTGAACGTATAGGTGCAAAAGCAATATACGGACCAAGACGATAAAAAATAGAGTGGCTTTTACTACTGTGTGATCGCGCAGCTTGCAAACATCTTACTTACCCTTGTAACCACTAATGGCGATTGCTGTTAGAAGAAGAAGGATCAGGAGAATATTTAGAAGCACTGATGTTCAAATCTTTCTCAAAAGTAGGCCTTAAAAAAATTGGAAATTGCTGATCATATGCAAATATATTGAATTCAATATATTGACATGTTAATGGTAGAAAGTGGCAGTGGTGGGCAGAAATGAGTCCAAGAAGTCAATTTTAATGGAATTGTTAGCGAAGATTGAAGGAATACAATAAAATATAAGGAATAAAATATAAAAGAATCGTAGTTTAATAGTCAAACTAATTACTGCTTGGATTCTTGAAGGAAGTGAAAAGACCCCCATGTGATCCATGCAATGGAACCAAAACCATTTGTGCTCAAGCATTATAATAGTTTAGGATTAATGTGCCGATCTGGTTGTTAGAAAGAAAAATTCTGAACGGTTTTGCCGAAGCTTAGCGATTCTTTCAGCTCGCACAGTTTTCTGGTGGATTCTTAGCTAAAATCTCCTTTGTTTCTCATAAGCCAAATCCTTAAACTCTTGCAATCCGGTTGCGAATATTTTTTAAGTTGCAATACATGAAATTTCTTTAAGCAAATTTTATTTATTCAAATAAAATAAAAACAAGAGATCTTAAAAGAAAAAAACAAATTATACAACACAACAAAATTATTTTATTTACTGAACATCTGATTTTTGATTGTCGTTTGATGGAGGCGAAGGTTTAATTGGAATTCGGCGAACTGGTACACTGTCTGATGGTACCTTCCTGGCGTTGATACTCAATACTCCGTGGTCGGATAAATTCGATTCAATTGTATCCATTTGCACATCGCTTGGAATTTCATATTTGCGAATAAAATGACGTTGAATGGTACCATTTTCGTCGTTCCTTTCTTCATGTTTCCCTTCAACGATTAATTCGTTTTCACGAATATTCACGGAGAGTTCGCTTGGATGGAATTGCGACGCATCGATTTCAACGGAAAACTTCTCTTTATCGTCGATTATCTTAAATAAGTTTAATTTATATGGATAAATAATAAAAATAAATTTAATTAATTTTAAAAATCAGAAAATTGAATGCGAGAAAAACTTACTTTACCAATGGAATTACCAATATTACATTGTTGCAACAAAGGCTGATTAAACCAATACGGAGTAATCGAACGGCTGAATAAATTATCACCGTTGAAAAAATTATCAAAAGCCTTATCAACCACACGAAGCAGATTTCGCTCAAATGGAGCGACACAATAGCGACGATGTGGCCAACTCGAGACGCAAATCGACATATTAGCGACGATCCACTTAATGACTTACTTATTTATTCAAATTTTATCTTGAAATTGCCAAATTTTCCTCATTTTTATACATTAAATATTGTCCTTCGAGAAATTTCTCAACCATTCTCGAAGCGATTTTTATGCCTGCCTTGTATTATTTTCACACTGTTTTCATCTCTAGTCGCTGTCGAAAGTTCGAGAAACTTCTAGAAATTACCAGAAATTTCCGATGATTTTCGGATTTTTTTGATTGAAAAAGGAAAAAATTTGGAAAGCAAATTGCAATATTAAATAATAAATTGAATCTATTTGTTTGTCACTGATAAATAGATGTTTTTTATCAGAAAAATGAAAGTTTAATCAGTGGCGGCGAAATCTCTTAGGAAATAATAAGCCAAATACAAATCCAAGACCAATGATAAAAGCAATCATATTTTTATCATTATTTATCATTTATAATAATAAAACATTTCATATATCCACTATGAATAAGAAATATTTTCTTAAGATTGGCTCTCGGTGCAATTCCCAAATTGTTCGCAGAGAGCCCTAAAGTTCCAATGTAAAATAATCGGCAATAATTCTCCATCGATATAATTATTTTATAATAATTAATTACAGCTTAAATTTCGCAATAAATAATTTTGCCTAAATACAAGAATTGACCACTCGGAAAAAATTTATTGCCTTTACAGTTTGAAGAATTTTCAGAATTCAATGAATTCGTATAAATTCGTATATATTTGAAAAAAAATCAAAATTTTCACGTTCGCATTTTATTTTTATTTTACTATCAAAATATTAAATATTATTTGTCACCAATTTGTGGTCTTTGTCGTCGACCAGGTGCTGGCGATAGATGACCAAATACAATCAAGGAATGCGGCGCTTCAGTAGGATTAGTGGATGCAGTCATGTGAGGACAAAAGGACTATATTAGGGTTCATGCAATTCCCTAGGTTGCTTGAAATGTAAGTTTTTTTAACAAAACGATGTTTAATAAAGTTGCCACAAACTGTTTCAGTATTACACATTCTTTATTTCATTTGAGGCTGTTTTTTGTAAGTCAATAAAGTGTTTTAAATTTATTTTATTAAATATTTGTATAATTACGCAACATTACCTAATTCACTGCAGAAACTACTTCTGCACCGTCGCCAGCAATATCGCAAACCATATCGTAATGAACGCATTAATTGTGGTTCGAGACCAGATCTTTGCGTTGGACCATACGGAGTGGTATGCGCAAACCAGTGTAAATTCACTTGCGGTCTTTGTCATAGAGGATGAAAGTCGTGATTTTTATTGGCAAAAACGAAAATTTCAGTTGTATTTAATTCACAAATTCGTTTTTCTTCAGTGAAGTTTAAGAAAAACAAAAAAGTAAGTAAAAAATTTCGTAAAAATAAATAAGTAAATGAAAATGAAGAATTTATATTTTCACTAGGATGGCTTTTCGATGGTTTATCGGATTAGGCTTTTGCCGAGGAGGCGATAAGAGTATAGATAAATCTCCAGCACTGCTCGTATTTTCAATTCAAGCCGGGAGGAGAACTACAGCACCGAAATAATAGCAACAACCCATTTCTACCACAATTCTATTACAATACCGCTTTCTCTTTCGTTCCCTAAGAAGTATTCTGAGAAACAAAATATTATTATTATTATAAATATTATTTAGTAATATTCACTTTGCTCAGAATTCTTTTTTTCTAGATTCTAAAAATTTTGAACACAAGAAGGTTTTACGATAGCGAACGAGAAGAGGAAAACATGAGCAATGCCAATCAGGAAAGGAGTTTTTCATACAAAATTGTATAGTTTTATGCATTAAATGAATGAGAATTCGTAGAAAATTATTAATATTCATTAATAACCTAATTAATAAATAATTAATTATTTAATTAATAAACTTTCCCAATTTCCTTGTAACGAAAATATTTTCGCAGCCTAAGGCTATAAATTCTATATGGAATTAGCAAAAAACTTTTGCTCCATATTTACATTAGTTCCACTTTTTTCAGAACTTTTTTTACTTCAAGAGACTCTCTTTTACTTCTTATAAACCAAATTCTCAAATTCTTGCAAATATTTTTACCCGGCAACCCGGTTGCAAATATTTTTTAAGTTGCAAAACAAGAAATTTCTTCTTTAAGCAAATTTTATTTTTTCAAATATCTTAACAAGACATCTTAAAAAAAAACAAATTATATAACAAAAATTATTTAAATTATTAAATTTTATTTTTATATCAAAATATTAAATATTATTTGTAAGGCAGCGAAATAAAATAAATAATAATAAAATAAGTAAAATAAGTAGTTGTGACGGGTAACGGAGAATAAGGATTCGACTCTGGAGAGGGAGCCTGAGAAACGGCTACAACTTCCAAGGAAGGCAGCAGACGCGCAAATTACCCACTCTCAGCAAGAGGAGGGAATGACGAAAACGCATTAAAATTTTTCAGAAAAATGGTTAAAACTTTGAATGAATTTTGCTTTTCATTAAATTTTTAGTTAAATTTTATTATTTATGATTTCGTTTGAAAGGAAAAAGAATAAAAGAAATAAATGATTTCTCAAAAAATTATTCATAAATCGGACACCTCTTAAAGACGAAATAAATGTTAAAATTTTCAAACCAAATTAATTATATGTAATTAAAAAATAGTCAAAAATGTTTTTAACATGTCAGATGAAAAATTATTCGAAATTGGTTTATAGTTTATGATAAATTACGACCATATAATTTGCATTAGATTAAACAGTTCGTTTTGCGAGAAAATCATAGCTCAGAGTGGGAAAATTTTGTTTTGCATGTTCGATGGCTTGTCGGACGAGATTTTTGCCGAGGAGGCAATTACAGGTAATTTGCCAGCACTGCTCAACAATTCAAGAGCATAACAAGAGAGAACACAAGCATCGGCGCACCGAAACGGTATCAACAACTCATTCCCAACACAATTCCACAATTTATTCGTTTATCCACATTTACAAAGACTTGACTTCTGAGCATTTATTCAAGAGATCATTGTTTTCTCTGCTATAGGAATTTGTTTTACTAGTTTTATGCCGAAGGAAACAATAAAAAGTGTCTAAAAAAATAATAATTGATAATGATCGCAATAATCATGAAAAAATGTTCCGAAAAAATATACAAATAACAATAAGCTCAATAAGCTCTTTTATTTTATAGGTTTAGCTTGGAATTTATGTGAGAAAATTTCAAAATTTCAAACGACACTTCGTAGAATCATTTTGACAAACCAAAAATTTCATGGAAACCACTTGCAGCATGCAAAAAATTCCCTTCCGAACTTTTTAACGGTCCTAAAAATTTTATATTAAAATATATGAAAAATTTTTTTCTTTTTTGTATAAAAAATTAAAAAAAATTTCAGATTATCTCAGTTGGAGAACCGCAAAAATTTTATAAAATTTGATCCATCAAGATTTGTAATGAAATATGGAACAATTTTTCGAAAAATTTTTCATAAGCCTTGCAAATAATCTTTTTCGACGAACTAGTTTCGCCATTCCGAATATAAATCCAATGTTATATAAAAAAAAAATTTAATGTTTTTTTAGTTGTGAAAAATTTTCAACTGGATTTGCAATGTTCTTCGGCTTCCTTCTTTTGGTTAGTTAGTACCATATTGTAGACCAATGAGAAGCGTTCTTTTTCTTGTAGAAAAAATAAATAGACTGAGAAAATCTAATGAAACGATATTTACTGAGCCAGTTGATAATTTTCTGATGACTTTTAACATCTCAAAATTCATTTTGTAATTTTTTCTTAAATTGCCAATTAATTTTGACATATGGTTTACGGTTTAGACAGCAAATTTCTTACATTCATAGCTTCAAATATTTCCTTAATGAAGATAATGGAATCAATTTTTCTATTAAAGAGACTGTAGAACAATACGAATAGCATTACGGATTCAGCCTTTTCCGTGAATTCGTCTTTTTTTTCCTAGTACTGCCTCACGTATTTTCCGCTGCAAGTGCGGTATTCTGGTCCAACGTTTTCGCTGCTTTTTTTTCAGTTGCCAATCGTAAATGGACAAGATAATGGGATTGAATTTGTTCTGGACGTTGGTTGTAAGTTGAACTGTGGCTCCAATATGACGTTCATCACTGCCGAGCATTATAAATTTCGGCCAAACCTTTCGACAAATTTGTTAGCCAACAAAATCTGCATGCAGCAATGCATGCATATCAGTCTTCAAGCAATGAAAATTACTGAGACACGTGCTACAAAATTAACAACAACAATTTCATTGCCAAATACAGCAAGAATCGTAAATAATCACTATATAATTTGTTTTTCTTTCTTTGAGATCTATAATAATCTCTAAAAATATCAGAAACTTCTGAACGTGTTTTGACATTTCTGAGAGTCTTCTGAATATAAAACTAGAGTTTTGAATTATTTGTTACGGCATTTTCCATAAACTCCTGTTTTTTTAGTTACCATCCACACTTGGAAGAGATTATTTTGGTAAATCTGAGACAATTGTGGATGTTCACTGCAAATTGACAGGTGCAAAATGCGGTCCCAACATGAAGCTCATCACTGTTAAGCAACGTTATCAATTTCGATTAAAATTTCCGAAAAATTTATCATTCGATAAAGTTTGTATTCAGCGATGTGGACATGCAAATTTTCAAGAAATGAGAAATACCGAAACAGCAATTTCATCAACAAAAGCCACAAGATTCGTAATAATTCGTTATAATGCCTTTTTTTCCTTAAATTTTTTTTTAAGGTAAATTAAAAAAGGAAAAAATTATAAAAATCTCACAAATTGTCTGAGGTTAATTTGATAATAAAATTAGATTAGATTTCTGAGTATTTCCGAGGTCTGTCAAAATCCAAAGACAAGAAATGTTTCAGGTATGTTAGTACATAAAATGAAATGAGGTTTTTTGTATTAGAAAAACTCGAGGAAGTGCCCGATTTTAAATAATATGCACTTGTATCTATAATTATACATCTTAGGGCTCCGTTGAGAGGATAAAATTACAACTGCATTCACTCTCGCTTAACTACCATTAATCACCACAGAACGTTGTCATCGCTAGTTGAGGTTCATTCATCGTCGCCTGCCACGGGAGTTGACACGAATTTCTTTATTTACTAAACGTTATGACGGTTGACGTCAAAAGCGAAAAGGTCCAATCAAGACTGATACAGACCGGGACTGATACAATTAAGAAAGGTTTTGAACGCATAGATGGACAGTAGTATATGGACTTCGACGATGGAAAAATGAATGGCTTCTATTATAGTCATCGATGACATCAGAAGATACAACTTGGAAACGTATCCATGTAGCGAGTTCAGCCAGACTAACCAGTAACAATGAGAGTTGATAAAAAGGAAAAAATGTTATAAAAGAAGGTTAGAAAAAAGCAAATTAGAAAAAAAATGGAAATTATAAGGTTTTTCTGAGAAATTTCTGATCCGTTTTTTGTCATTAAAAAAGTCATTTCATTTCATTTCTGAAATCATTTCTGAGGCTTTTTCCCCCTTTACGAATTCGATCTAATTTTTTAATCGTTAGAGATTTTAATCTTTTAGGGTTTTCCCGAATATTGAGTGCCTCCATTTTTTTGATATGATTTGATATCAATAATAATGTGATAAATAATAAGCATTATTCAAAAACACTATCGCTTCTGTTGATCTACCATTCTATTTTATTTTAATCTATCTGGCGAATATTGAAAAAATTTTATTGATGAGTATAGCAAAGAACAATCACGAATTAAAACAAGATACCTTATTATGAAAGTTGAGAATAAACGGTTTGCCAATTGATGGCCTTTTACGCAGTTCTTAGGCCTTTAGACTAATTTCGTATAGCTAGAATAAAATTAAAATTTAGTGAATAACTCGGTGAATACAGCTTTAAGAGCTTTAAGACAGCAGAAATGTAGAAGTCGAATTATATTGTCTAATAGTCGAATAGTCGAATTATAATAATCTTGGAAGAATTATAAAAATTTGAAAATTTTCGCAAAATTTTCCCATTCATATTTTATTATTTTCACTAATTATTCTATTTTTTTCAGTCAAAATGTGCGCATTTACGTTTCTGTACATTAAATGAAAAAATTAAAGACTACACATGCAAATTAACTGGTAAAAAATGTGGTGAAAATATGAAATTTATCACAGTGAATCGCATTGAACCTATACAATTTTCGATAGCTTTTGTTCTCTTTAAATTTTGCATTCAACAATGCAAATGTGCACGGAAAGAATACATTGAAAAAGATGGCAAATGTTTTAAAAATTCAACTGAGATTTCAAACGTAAGCAAAGCGGTGAGTTATAATTTTTGCAAATTTTGTATAATTAAATTTACCAACCTTGTAAGATTCATTCAAAATTTTAAAATTTATTCATTGAGAAATAAGCAAATGATATTATTATTTTCCTTAAAATATCGGTTTTGTCACAAATTTCGAAAATAAACTTTATTCTTACAAAACTTTTATTAATAGAAATAACAATAAAAAATTTTGTAAAAATAGCTTTTCCTCTAAATATTTGCTAAATGAAAAGATATTTTGGTGCATTTGTTTAAAGAATACTTATGAAGGAATATTTTAAAAGGAATATATTTTTATTTAAGGAATATATTTTTATTTAACATATAATAAATTCCTGTCACTTATTTTTTAAATGTCATAAATGAACGTCCGAGAAAGGTAGAATGAGAATTATCGTGTATTAACTATATGGATTTAACTGAATAGACGGAAATCTTCAAGGATAAATCTAAATTAAATTTTTCCTTCAATTTAAAATTTTAATATTTGTTTGCATAGTGTATTACCTTTTTTTTAAAAAAATTCTGTAAATTTTTTAGAATTTTAGCGAAAAATGAAATTTCGGCGAATTGAGCGAGAAAACTGACCACTAAAATCGTGGTGAAGACATAAAATTTATCGCGGGTTTGTCGAAACGATATTAATTCAGTAGAGTAATGTGAATATCTTTCATATCTTTTCTATTAAGATATGAGATGGCTTTAGAATTCTACAATCGTATAATACAGTTGGGAAGTTGGTTGATTATCGCTTTGTACCGCTTGATGAATACGATATACCTTTTCAGATTAACCGTGTGGCCTATTCATATGGTGAGGAAGTATTTGATTTTTCTTGCCAGTTGGCCGGCAGCAAATGTGGACTGAACATGATGTTTGTGAACATCGATCCATATAAATCACGTTTCGCCTATCCGCAATTTTCTTCCTCCGTTTTTTGTGTCGTACAATGCGAATGCATCAAACCTTTTGAGGAAAAAGATGGACGATGCATATAAAATCTTTCAAAGAATCGTAATTAAGATTTCAGACATTTCAATTTTATTCTCCTATGCATTATTTTTCTAATTAGTAATTTAGAGTTATACGATGGTTGATCGATGTTTTCCTATTCTATAATGGAACCAAATAAAACTGTAAAGCCATATATCTTTCCAGTCATAACGAAATTTGAATAATAAGCAAAAATATATAAGAAATATTCCATTAGAGTATGAATTCTACTTGTGGGCAGCGCTCGTTCCATATATAATGAATTTCCTTTTAATATTGTTGGAAAAGCAAAAATATTATGCAAATTATTCAAATAATTAATACTTTTAATAAAAAAATTTAAATAGGAAAATTTAAATAGGAAAAGGAAAATTTAAATAGGAAATTTATTCTGACGGATAAATTTAGTCGATTCTGAAGATTCGCTAATTTGAATTATAATCTGTCGAAAATTTGAAGAATTTCTAGAAATTTTCATAAACTTAATTTTCCAATAATTTTCGAAATTTTTATGGTTGAAAATGGAATTAATTTGGAAAAGCATTATTAACTAATAAATTAAATAAATAAAATAAATTCTACTTGTTTACCATCGATGAGTAAATATTTTCTTTTATGAAAAAGATAAAAATGAAAAAAAATAATGTTACAACAAAAAAATTTTTGGGATTTTAAAAATAAATAATTTATGAATAATTTTACCTGATTTTTTTAAAATATTGCATTAATTTTCGTTAATTTTTTGGTAAAAATAATATCGGATAACATCAGATACCGAATGGCGAAGAAAATTGCAAATATAAGCAATTCACTCGTATCGCACCTGTTACGCATCTTTTTCCCAGCAAGAGAAATAAGGGAGAAAAGAGTTGGAAAAGATATCGGAAAATATCACGGAATAATAGTAAAGTATCTCATAAGTGAGGGGTACAGCATAGTTCTTATTTTGAGAGAATAAAAAACAGTTCTCATTTATCATTTATTTATTATTTATCTTTATCACCATTTATCGTTAGGTTCGTCGGATCAGATGAATTTTGCGGAGGAGACAAGAATTATAAGTAAATGGCGAGCACTGCTCGCATTATCAACTCACTGGAATATTAGTAACAGCCCATTCCTAGCACAGTTCTGTTAATTCTGCTGCTTATTTTTAGTGGTGTTTATTTCTAAATATTGTTTGTTCAAGAGAATAATGTTCAATTGATTGTAGAGATTTATTTTAATGGCTTTTTGCTGTAGGCAACAATGAAAACTTCTAGAAAAAATTTTAAAAATGATCGCAATAGCCATAATTATGAAAAAATACACCGAAAAAACAAACTCAATACGCTCTTTTACTTCAAAGGAATTGGAATGATAAAATTCTAAATGGCGCTTCTAATCGCACAAAAATTTGTTTTTATCCTATCACAAAACTAAAAGCCTTCCAGTTAGTAATTGTTGCTTATCTGAAACTTTCAGTTTATTTTATCGAGCTCATTTCGAAATGAATTTTTTTTGCGGCAAACTATATTCATAACAAATCTTTAATCGGATTTTTCATTGTTGACTGATAAAAGTTTTGAGAAAAATCATTCATGCATTGATAATTTCGACATTGAAATGATTATATGCGAAAAAATAGTATGTAAAAAAAAATTCTTTTCAAGTTCTATACCGATCCTAGAAACACTAATAAAATATTAGAAATATAATAAAATATAAATATAAAACATTTCTCCCGTTTCAGAAAAAAATTTAGAAATTTTAGACTATAAATTATAAATTTTAGATCTCTTTTTGAGATTCAAAAAAATTATAATATAAAATATAAAATAAAATTATAGAAAATTACAAAAAATTAGAAAGTTTAGTATAAATTGAGCCATCGAGATTTATGATAAAATATGGAATAATTTTTCACAAAATTTTTCATAAGTATCACAAACAATCTTTTTCGGCGAATTAGTTTTTTATTTTGAATATGAATATAGTATTATATAAAATAATGGTTTAGCGATTTTTTCAATTGTGGAAATTTATCAAATAGCAATGATGTTCTTCGGCGCCATATTTCTGGTTAGTTAGTACCATATTGTACAATAGGTCTGTGAGAAGCGTTCCATTGCTTTGTCGAATAAATAATCCAAGATTGAAAAAATCTGATCAACTGTGTTCTTGTGCAGTTAGATTTTATCAAAATCACAATTAGATTAAAATTTGTGAAGCTCATAAAATTAAAGGAATGATATATAGAACTACTGAACAACTTGCTGATAATTTCCTGATAACTTATAATTTTCTTGAATTTTGTCATACAATTTTATTATTTACTTTTTATGAGCTTCCGGTTACTTTAAACAGTCCTTTTTCATGATATACTAAAATATTTGGACTTTTACTATAAATAATTTTAAATTTGCAATAGGATAGAATTACGGAATCGGCACCAAAAATTCTTGCTTTTTTTTCTTCAGTTATCATTCGTACAAGGATTACCTGGTTATAAAAATTTCGATACAGTTCAAGATGTCGAATGCAAGTTGACAGGATTGAAATGTGGTTCCAATATGAAGTTCATCACTGTCAAACATTATTATCAATATCGTTTCAACTCATCAAAGAAATTATCACCAAAAAAAGTCTGCATTCAGAGATGTACATATGTTATTCCTCAAGAAACGAAAAATACTGAAACGCAATTAACAACAACTTTATCGATCAAAACTACAGGATTCGTAAGAACTCATTATCATATCATTTTTCATCAGTTCTAATAAAAAAGAGAGAAAATACTATAAGTGTAAAGGCAAATATTCTTTAGGAATGTTTTGACGCTATTTAGGCTTTCTTGGGCATAAAACTAGATTAGAGTTTTTCTGAGTTTTTTCTTGCTGTAGAAGAAGGTAAAACATTCCCGAGCACAAAAGGTGCAGTAACCCTAGGAAATGCTAACTCATAAAATTTTAACTCATCTTCTAGGTCGTCTTTTCTAAGAAGGATTAGAAAATTTATGAGGTTTTTCAGGGCTATTTTTTGATAGAAAACAAGGTGAAAGAAATATTTCTATGAATTCTTGAAGTTTTTTTTCGGATTTTGATCATTTGGGATTTTATTCATGAGATTTTAACCTTTTGGGGTTTTCGGAATTTTTGATGGTTTAGTAGTTTTTTTGATGCAGTGGTATCAGTAATATAATAAGCTCTACTTAAATATACTAGTCTTATTGTTGCCTTATATGTTTTGGAAAATTAAATTAATGAGCGCATTCATTATCACTGATTAGATTCGATGCGTTGGCTTGTCGGACTAGACAAATATGCGAAGAATGCCATGGTGATAGAAGTACAGCAAGTATTAATGAGTAATAAGATTAATGAGTATAACAACGATTTAAAACAAAAATCCTAACGATAAATAAATAATCATTATTTAAAGACTTATAAGACTTATAATCCTTTAGATTCTTAAATTCATTTAGCTGAAATAAAATTAAAATTGGCCAACAAATGGCTAATACAACTTAAAATTAGTAGATTACAAATTGATAAAAATTTGAAAATTATCATGAAATTCTCCCATTCTAATTATATTTTTGGTACCAATGTATTTTCAGTCGGAATGTACCCAAATATGCATTCATATGCATTGAATAAAAAATTTGAAAGGAAAAAAGGAAGTTAACAGGCAAAAAATGTGGGCGAAAACATAAAATTTATATATTGTTGCTATAAACAATTCTTTTTTTCAAAAATTCATGATAGATACTAATAGGAGAGAATTATGGAGTCTTTTTTTTTCAGTTGACATTCGCACAAGGATTATCTGGTTTTAAAAATTTCGATACAGTTCAAGATGTCGAATGCAAGTTGACAGGACTGGAATGTGGCTCCGACATGAAGTTCATCACTGCCAGGCACTATTTTCAATATCGTCTCAACTCTTCAAAGAAATTATCACCAAAAAAAGTCTGCATTCAGAGATGTACATATGTTATTCCTCAAGAAACGAAAAATACTGAAACGCAATTAGTAATAACTTTATCGGACAAAACTACAAGATTCGTAAGAATTCATTCTAATACCGTATTTTTCTCTTTTTTTGGAATCTATATCATTCTTCTAATAAAGGGGAGAGGAAAAACTATAAAAAATATAAAGGCAAATAATTAGTAATGTTTTGACACCTTTAAGCTTTTTCTGGGCACAAAACTAGGTTAGAATATTTTCGAGCTTGTTTCTTGCTGTAGAAGAAGGCAAAAAAGCATTTCCGAGGATTTTCGAAACCCAGAGGATCAAAGGTGCAATAATCGCATAAAATGCTAACTCGTAAAATATTGAAATTTTCTCATTTTAATTAAATTTTTGCTAAATCTCAGCGTTTTTTTAAATGGATTCATATGCATTGAATGAAAAACATTGAATACTTTAAATGCATGCAAATTAACAATAAAATGTGGCAAAAATATGAAATTCGGCATGATTAATCGAAATTTCGCAATTATTGCTTTTTTCATAAGTTTGCTTTTTTCAACGCGAAATTTGTTGCGCATATTTTTTAAGCAAGAAATTTATTTTAAAAAAATGGAAAACATATTGGAAAATTGGCAGAATCAAAATTTACCATTGTTTTACCACTCGCAATAGCCTTAGGCATTGTTGAGTTTCAGAAATATAGAATGAATTTGACTATAAAGAATGGTCTGATAGGTGATTTTTTCCAGTGCATCTGTTTGTGCCTTCTTGCTTGTAAAATTTACAACAAAGGCTATTAGCAAAACTTTTTCTTTGACCTCCAAACTGGAGGGAGCAAATTTATGAAAACTTGTGGATATGAATTCCAATATTCCTAAATATTTTCAGATTGTCCATTCCTACAGAGGTCATTCTTATGGTGACAAATGGTTTGATTATTCGTGCGAGCTTGTGGGAAAAAAATGTGGCCAAACTATGATATTCACAAAAATCGATCCATATCTTTCATATTTTGATACTCTCCCAAGTTTTTTTTCTCCCAATTTTTGTATTGTACAGTGCAAATACGAGCAATTCTATGAAGAAAATGATGAATTATATATCGGAGGTTTTCCTATTTTGTAAATCATAATTCTTAAAATTTTCGTAGTTTCATTTAATTGTTCTTCTTTACAAATGTTATTTTAGCATTTTAAAAGCCCATGATATGATAATTGATAATAATTGATAATTGATCGCCAATAATTCTGTAATAATTCTGTAATATTCCATTTAGTTCTATAAAAAAGCCAAACATGACAAAAGCTCTCCACGAGCAACTGAAATGAAATGAAGATCAGTGGGTATTTAAAATCTGAAATATAAAATAAATTCTAACATTCTAATTGCCTATTTTATTTATTATTAACATCTGAACTTTGATTGTCATCTGATGGAGGCGAAAGTTTAATTGGAATGCGGCGAACTGGTACACTGTCTGATGGTATTTTCCTGGCGTTGATACAGCACTCCTTGGTCCGATAAATTCGATTCAATTGTATCCATTTGCACATCGCTTGGAATTTCATATTTGCGAATAAAATGACGTTGAATGGTACCATTTTCGTCGTTCCTTTCTTCATGTTTCCCTTCAACGATTAATTTGTTTTCACGAATATTCACGGAGAGTTCGCTTGGATGGAATTGCGACGCATCGATTTCAACGGAAAACTTCTCTTTATCGTCGATTATCTTAAATAAATTTAATTTATAAGAATAATTAATAAAAATAAATTTAATTAATTTTAAAAATCAGAAAATTGAATGCGAGAAAAACTTACTTTACCAATGGAATTACCAATATTACATTGTTGCAACAAAGGCTGATTAAACCAATACGGAGTAATCGAACGGCTGAATAAATTATCACCGTTGAAAAAACCTTATCAACAACACGGTACAAACTTTGTCAAATGGAGCGACACAATATCGACGATGTGGTCAATCGGAAACGTAAAGTGACATATTAGCGACGATTTAGTTAGAAACTTATTTTTGGACTGTCAAACTTTCATCCTTTAAATATTGCTCTTCGAGAAGTTGCTCGACCATTCTCGAGACTATTTCTACGCCTTATACTAGTTTCCCTCTGTTTTATCTCTATCACCTTCGAAATTTCGAGAAATTTCTAGAATTTTCCAGAAACTTCCAATAATTCTAGGAATTTTACTATTGAAAAATAAATAAACGTTTGTTTA